ATGTGCCCTGAGAATCTATGCCACGGACTCAGATACCCATCTCTGACACGTTCACCCATAAGCTGTAACCACTATTGAGGTATAAGGTATCCAAGGACTTCATTCCTGGCCTCCCATGCATAGATTCAGGGCAGTAACTTTTTGAATGACAGTGGATGGCAGACAAGATGTGAGGAAATGACCAGGAAATGGAAAGCCCCATGAGGTAGTTGGGCCTGTAGCATGAGAATTTAGGGCTTGATGTGGCAAGGTGAGGCCCCCAGAAGGGAAAGTCATTCACAATAATACAACAAAAAGAGCTGAAGCGTCTATTTAAAAGCTACGATTCCCACATCTAGAGGTGCAGCTGGGAGAGGTACCGTTGGAGTTCGGGGTGTTATTGGAGCGCTTTATCATAGTTTCCAGGTTGGCTTTGTCCACAGCGATATTGGCCAATGCACCCTGAGCCTCAAAGCTGGCAAATTGACCAAATTCTTTAAGCCGCCAGACCGTCTCCTTCTTTTGCATATCCACGTGGAAAATCTCATCATCGTCAAAGTCAAACATAAACTCTCCTGACTCATCAGGTTTCATGTAGAACTCGGCCTGGATGATCACATGATCCTCTGAAAAGGTAGAAAAGGGAGTTAGGGTTGGAACAAGCTGAGAAAGATGAGGAACCCAGATTGTGAGACACACATGTGGGCAGCAGGGGTGAAAGGGGTAGGCCAAGAGGAGGGAAGAAGTGATGGAGAGTAGGGATGAGTGGGACGATGAGTCCTGGGTGAAGCATTTTTGTGTTGAACAGAGAAGGAGGGAGAAATTAAGGGGCATGTTAGAGAGGGTGGATCGAAGGAAATGGCCTGAAAAGCCTGTGTCTTGTGAAGCTGTGGTTGGCCTCCAGGTCACTAGCTGAGGAATGATCGCCATGGAAATCCAGCAGCAGCTCCTAAAAGGTTGGGTTCTGAACTCTGAAATCAAATTAGCATTTGAATTCTTATTCAGCTACTTATTTACCTAGTGATCATGAGCAGATTATTTCACCTCCTTACGTGTAATTTTAAAATTATTTTCTTTTATGGTTTTGCTTCTTCCGTGGGTTTGTTTTTAATTTAAATCAGACTAGTTAAGTAATTTCTTAGTACATCATCAGGCCTATAGCAAGCAATTTAGGGTCAGAAACTGGTTTGTATTTAGGGACTACACCCAGGGAAAATAACACTGGGGCCTGAGGTACCTGGGAAATTAAGATTGAGACCTTGTAGAGCACCCACTTTCCTGGATCTGCACCCACACCATGGGTACTCCGAGGGAAGAACTGTATTTGGCAATGAACCCTTATGTCTCAAAGATCCTTATATTGAGACTGTCATTATGGGGTCTATTCTATATGGTTGATATTGAGCCTAATTTATACCAAGGGTGTAATCAATTTGAAGTAAGAAAGTTAAAATTGGAGAGTATGCAGCCTCCTGTTGTGTGTAGAGGAGAGG